AAACATTATACACAAGCAAATCATCAACAGTTCTCTCAGTACATACTTCTTTTCTCTTGCTATATCATTGCCACCTTTTCTAACTATTTTCTTAACAGTTTTATTTCTCTCAGTATCTGTTCCCTCTTTCTCTGACTAACCAGCCCTATCTGACTCCTCCTTCTCCTGCCAAACCTCATGTAGCTGGTGACTCTGCCTCTCCAGTCCTCTCATAGGCTCATGCAAATCAGCTCATGAATATGAATGGTATGAATGACATGGGTGATCACCAGAGCCCTCTGTTTCTTTTTCCATGGTGAATTGAATATTCGGGTGGATGTTGTTAAGATGGTTTAGAAATTCTTCCAGTTTTTCTTCACCGTGGTTCCAAATTGCGAAGGTGTCATCCATGTATCGGAACCAGACTGTGGGTGTGAAGGGTGCCGAAGCCAGGGCCTGTTTTTCAAAATGTTCCATGTAGGAGTTTGCTATAACCAGGCTGAGGGGGCTCCCCATGGCCACTCCATCTGTCTGTTCATAGATCTCGTTATCCCACTGAAAATAGCTGGTTGTTAGGCAGTGTTGGAAAAGGGCCTTGATGTCTCCTGGAAAGATCTGCTGGATGAGTGTCAGAGTGTCCTTTATTGGTACCTTGGTGAATAGGGATACTACGTCAAAGCTGATGAGTTTGTCCCCGGGGTTGAGTTTTAGGGTGTTCATAGGGTCACCATACATTGGAGGTGACTTGACAGCCCACAACAACCCAAAAAATTATTTTTCATTTTCATTCTTTCGTGTAAAATAGAACTTCATGGATATTGAAAGAAAAAAAGAAATAAAACTGGAAGAAACCTATTATGAAAGACTTCCACAACAGGAGCAGACATTACAGGACAGTCAACAGGTGCTTGGCCAGAAGTCAGCTATTCATCTTCCTACCATTTCCAACAACATCCCATAAATGTCACCACGGCATTTTAGAGGTTCACTTTGGATCGGCCCACAATGTAGCAGCAACATTTATTGCAAATCTTTCTCCCGGCCTGTAAAACGCAGCAAATTCTGGAACAGTAACTTGGCAATGGTGTTATCTGACTTTTCCATAAATGGTGAATGCAAAACATTGGCAATTCCAGACTTAATTCGTAGCATGGAAACCATCAAACAGGAGGACCATACCCATACTTTAACCAGGGAGTGACAAGCACAAGGCCTGGGACTTTATGGGGTCATTTAGGTTCTGCAGTGCGGCTAGGAGGCATCAAACCCCCCCCCCCAGCTACACCTCAGACCATCTCACCCATCACCAGACCAAGCACCTGCATTAGCCCCTGCCATGGGACTTACAAGCTATACATGCAAGCCTTTTAAACAACCATTTTAATCAGACCATAAAGGCTCAGGGGGCGTGGAACAGAAACTGTTCTTGCAGTACTAGTACCATATGTGTCCTCAAATTTTCTTGAACGGCAGAACACTTTAATATCTATCATGGGTCCTATTGAGGCACCATTCCTATAACTGAAAATCACCATCAAAAACCATAGTAAAGTGTGGGTCTGCGCCTCAGAGCTCCTCACTCCAAACTTAAAAAGAAAGATAGTGGGTTGATCACTCCCACTCCTAGTCCCCCCCCCTGCCATCAGGGATATTTCTGTGGTTATGCTTTCCATATATATATATATATGAGAGAAGGGAGAAAAGGTATCATTTTATGGGAGTGGCAGTGGTAAGGGAGGGAGATGATCTCAATCAGCCATTTTCAATGGGGGCTATATGGCTCCCTAGGGGGCCCTGGCACAATTGAAGGGGGCCACAGAAAACAGTTCTTCACATACCATTTTATAAGGTTCATCTGTGACTTATACAATCCTGATTTGACCTATATTTCCTTCATATTGTGTTTATGGCCATGGCCGATAAAAGGTTGAGAATGGCTGACGAGATCTCCCAAATCGAAAGGAGCTGCGGAAAGAAAGTCAGACACAATCCTCAGAGCACATCTAATTCCATTCATAAGTAGAGACAAGAAGACAATGATGCAATCTAAATTTTACAGCTGAATGAGTATTAATCAAGTCAAAGGAGAAAGCAAGGATGGGTGGGGGAACACTTTGTTCAGGTTGTCTGTTTCAGGGTGAATGATTTTTCTTTTCTATGGGGCTTTGTGACATTCTGATGTCTCTTTCTGAAGGCTTTTATCACCAATGTTATTTGACAAGTGCTATCCCTCTGGAATATTTCAATCAATAACAGCTTGGCAAGAGACAAATAAAACAAAAGCCTATTCATCTGGATATAGTACATCAGACTATTTTAAATAGCTCTCCTTTTGCCCATTTATCAGCAAACGCAAGCTAAATTCTCACTCCCAGGCATCAGGAAGCATAAATCGGATCATTAAGATGCCAACGCACAAGTCTGGGGAAATGGATGCTGATTAACTTGACAACTCATCTCCAGCCATTTTTGTTGGTTTTGTTTGTTTCTTAGGTGTGAAGAATATGCAGAGCTAGGATGAGCTGTTTTCTGACTGTATTCCTTCTCTGAAGCATCTAAAATGTTGCAGAATTTGGATCCATCAGCAATGCCCTCTTCATGGGTATAAAAGACTGAAAGGGCCTGGCTGTCCATGGACTTTTCCAGATGTCTTAACTGTTATGTCCCTTCTCTGCCTACAGCCTCGTATAAGTTAATTATTTTAATGTGTTAATCCATCTATGCCAGGTGGTTTTAAAAAAAGTAGGCAAACGGGTCTCCAGAAGTTACATTCAAAAAATATATAGAAAATGGAAAAACATACCAAACGTTTGCCTAAATATATAGAAAATGGAAAAACATACCAAAAGTTTGCCTAAATATAAATGAAAGGATAAAAGAATAAATAAATGTCTGAGGAAATAGAATTGTCCAGAAAAGTTCACATTAGAATAGAACAGTTA